TCAAACGTTCTAAACATTTTTTTGGGACACTCTGTATATTGCGAAAAATAAACTCACCAGCTTCCCGATTCCCTGCACTACCTCCACATTCGATGACTGGGTGTTGAGCAGCAGAGTGAGGCAATCACTCAAGGCTAATTCCACATATCCACGGAACATCCCACCACCAGTTTCAGCTATCAATGATAGTGCTACCATCGCCCAGGCCTATAAACAGCAACATAGGACTAAGAATATTTCACTAGTATAACAGTCACATACCTGCACAGATGGAGCATTGTGATCTCTTGCCAAAGCAAACAACACCGATACACCAGTGTGTAGATGCTGTCCACTTCCCAGGCTCCCAACATGCCGGTGGATGCACCCCAGGGCCAGTGCATATCCAGCTCGTCGACCATCTCGGAAAGCCCGCAACTTATCGAAGCATGCTTGAGCTCGCAGGGCGACAAACTGCGAAAAAAAAACTACCGCCTAAGAATGTCTGAAATTGTATGAGACACTTACCTGAGGATCTCCCACAGCTTGCGCCAGTCTACCCAGAGCTTCAGCTGCTGCAGCTCTGATAAGCGGTGTGGCCCCGGTCTCTAAGCCTGATTCCACAAGAGCGGTGCTGGCTTTCCTTACTGGTTCACTGTCCATACGAGCACCACCGCGAGATTCTGTCACTGCTCGGAAAGCTAGTGCAAGAGCACATAGCACGTTCAGCAAGATCTGAATGGGCACATAAGAATTTGAAGTATTCCCAAATCATACTCGGGCACAATTCCAAAATTCTCTCTTCCCACTACTCTTTTGATGAACAAAACGAGGTAACGTAAAATCCTCTATTGACGCAACTTACCGCTTGTTGTCTCTGAGCATGTTTGCAGTTCTTTATTACTTCAGCAAAATGTTCTGTGATCTGCAGCTTCTGCCGATCGGGTATCATCGGAAACACCTGGAAGGAAAACGTGAGAATCAACATTATCGAGTTAAAGCAGTTTGTTGAAGAATTCAGAATTTTTCAGAAAGTTGATTAGCTCACCCTTCCATAAGCCAGAATTGCCGCATCCAAGCATGCCGCCTGAGGTGTGTCGGGTTCCGGCCATAGATTATGTACATCCTTTGCCGATCCACTGGAAATGAGGAAGTATGAAGCATAGATGAATTATGAAATTTTCTCTTACCTGATCAAGCAAGTCGAGTCATTCTCAAGTGCTCCGCTGCCCATATGTGACAGAGTTTGGAGCTGAAATGGATGACTAGCGTAAGCACATCAAAGTATAGTATCAAAGTACCTGGTCCTCCACTAAAGCTTGGTCGGTAGCTCCACCGCTCCAAGGAGCTAACAGGGTATACTCAGCCCCGGAGCACAAGGTGCCCGCTACTGAAGTCATCAGCTGCGAACCTTGGTCATCCGACAGGGTCACTTCAGCAACAAGTTCACGAAGCAGCGAGTGGAACATGTCTGAAAAATACAACCATGCATAATATTTCAAAAAAAAAACCCCCCAAATGCAGAAAGATTTTAAAACTTACGTTCATAGCTCTTTGGTGGTAGCAGCATAAGAAGCTGATATACTCGCACTCGTACACTGCTTATCAATGCCCTCATCTTCGTACCATATGATCTGATCAACGTTCCCACTCTAGAATTTTACAAAAATTAACAGCAGAAAGTCCAAGAAACAAAAAAAA